ATTCAAGAGATGCAAAGGTTACAACTCTCCCATGTTGGCATCGACTATAGTCGTCTTAGGCCAGTTCTGGAGTATCAAGGGCAAGAGTTCGTATTTAGGCCACTTGCTGAAGAAGGTGAAGCTCAAGAAGAGGATGAAGCAGATAATCACATGGAAGACTGAGACTTTGGAAATTTCCAATTTTTTATTTTGTTTTGTTTGTTTTTACTTGGCTTATTTTCATTTTCTGTTTTTCTATTTAGTCTAAATGACATTGATGTGTGTTTGTTAATTTGACTCATACCGTTAACTAGTGATGTGTGTTACTAACGTGGTATACCATAAGCCTGACTGTTTAGCTAGATTTGGATATGGATGGTAGAATGACACGAGAGTGGTGACCGAACCTTCAAGCTGAGATACATTTCGCTATTTTTAAAAAGGAGCCTTTTTTTCCTTTCTTTTCTCTATTTCCTTTGTTACATTTATACATTAAGGATAATGTTGACTTTAAGTTCGGGGGTAGGGAAAGTTTTTCTTCAAAAAATTTCAACATTTTGTGTTAATTTTCTTTGGTTTGAGTCACATAAGTCTATGATGAGAGTATGATTGTAGGGGTATATTATGGCTGGAAAATGTTGAATACTGCTTAAAGTTTGAGTTGGTTGACTTCAATTTGATAAGAGAATCTTTGGGTAGTATAACCATGGGAATTATCTATTTGGCATGCTTAGCGATATTTTATGTGAATTTTGTGAGTTCTTAATGGTTTCAACAAATTCTAGAAACTATTTGATGATTGCTTGAGGTGAAATTCTAGATTGGACATTCTTGAGGAGATGATCTACACTATATTTGGATCATTTGAGCCTTTCTAGCCAACCTTTATCATATTTACCACTGGTCACCCTGCTTTTTGATATAAGATAGCCATATTTTTCTTGTATAGCCAAATATGTCGAACCCTTTTCGCATAAACATTTTATCCCTACTCTTTAAGAGGACTATGTAGCATATACATAGCATAAAGAGCAAGGACGATGTGTGTACAAGTGGTTGATCAATAAAACTTCATCCTCCCAAGGCTATAAAAATGATAAGTTTAGGGTTGTGTAAAGTCGGCTTGAAGAAAATACATTCTATTTTCAAAAAAAGAAAAATTAAGATTGTGTTTGCCAAAAGATAAAGGTTGACCAGTGATGAGAAGTTATGACTTAAAGTTTATAGGCTCTTTGTGTTTGCATTGTGATCGAAGTGACTTCCCTTACTTTTTGTATCCTATCCTTTTGCTGGAGCCTATTACCTTAGCCTAACATTACAAACTCCATAAAAACCTTTTGAACTTTGGCAATACTCTAGTCTACATTAGTGGAGAGTTGTTTGAAAAGTAGGCTATGGAGTTTGTAAGAGAACCACAGATATTTGCCTGTTTGCATAAAATGATCTGAGAAGTCTAATGATGATTTGAAATGGGGATTACATACTTCGGGAGCTAATAGAGAAATATGGTTAATTTTTTAGTTCTGAACTTTTGTAGTATTTGGTTTTTTTCCTTAAATAATATATCATAGGCAATCTTTGAGACATAAATTGTGATATAAACTAGTGTTTTGTTTAACTCAATTTATGTTTCTTTTGCTCAAGGACTAGCAAATTTTAAGTTTGGGAGCAAATTTTAAGTTTGGGATTATTTGATAATCCTATTTTCAATCATGTTTTTATTTTAAGTTTTCATGGGATTTAGGTTATTTTTCCTTCTATTTGGCTTTGAATTGCTATTTATTGGAATGATTATTCTTTGTTGGCCTCATTTCTAGTTTTGAACATAAGAGAAGGATGTAGCTAATTTATTGGGCGTTACAACTCGAAATGATCTAAATCGAGCAACTATGGAAAGCCAAGAGGCAGAGCTACCAATTTTATGCCTTGGATTTGGCCTAATTCTATTGGGAAGATGGTGAAAACATGGCTGGAAGTTTCAGGCAGAAGAAGGAAAGCCGATTGGAATAGGAAGAGTCAGTGTTGCGGCATCGAAATTTGGATGTTGCGGCCATGAGATCTCAGTTGTGATTGGAAAAAAAGCACGTAGGGGAAAGGATTTTGGTGTGCCACGGCAAAACAGTCTCGAGAAATCTAGCAATCAGTCGATGTCATGGCATTGAATTTCTTGTGCCATGGCGAGCGTTAAATAAAAATAAACAAGAATTGTATTTGGGTTGGGACTCCTTTGGAGGCTTGGGTTTCTTGTCCTGGACATATGAGGAGTCTAAAAAGAATAGTTGAAGACAAAATAGGGGTTCACAACTGTTAAACTCTAAATATGGCTCATATTCTTAGAGGGGGAATGAATAGGAATCAATAAAAATTATCGCGGAATAAAAACTATCAATACAAGTAATAGCAAATGATGAGTTTAGCAAATCTATGCTCAATAAATAAGCTCAACAACCAATGAATGACAAAGTTAATGTTAATGCAAATGAGCAATAAAGATATCCAAATGAGAACAATAAATACAATCAACTTATGAACAATAAATAAGAGCAATGAATGTATGAACAAGAGTAATAAATAAGTTTTGAGAGAAAAAGAGAGAAATGCTCAAAGATTTATAGTGGTTCGGAGCTATATCCACAAGCCTCCTACATCCATTTCTTCAAGGCAACCTCCTTGAAGTTCCACTATAATCGGATTGCGCCAAATACAATAGTTTTACAAGATTTTGCCACACACACTTAGATTTATGGGATTACACCTAGTTTTATAGGATTTTGCCCCTAAGATTGTAATCAAAGTATTTTGTGAATGATTGCCTCTTTCTATAGGCTTATACACACAATAAGAACAAAGACACTCTCAATGATTTACAAGATGAGTACAAATGAGAGTAAGTCATTTGGATTTGAGCTCAAGGGATTATATGGGAATGTTCTCTGATCTGATATCACTCTTCTCTACCCTTTTGCATAAAAACCTTGAGTTTTTATATACCTTAAAGAGTTAGCCATTGCTTCATTTAAGGCAGCTTTGATAAAGCCTACAGAATCCAGAGAAACGATTGTTCCATAATCGTAAACAGTTGTCCCTAACACAACAGATAAATTTTCTCAAATCTAGGGTTTCTGAAATGAACATTCCACCATCCCGTATGATCGTGCAAAGGCATCGCACAATCATTCCACCACGCAGAATGGTCTCACCCAAATTGCTCTTCCAAATCCACAAGATTTTCCAAAAGCATGCACGGCTTCTTGGAACATTGTCGTGCAAAACTCTTCATATAGGAATGGTCGTGCCACCATGCAGAACGGTCGTGCCCCTTTTGATACATGAGTTTTGACTTGACTGACTTCGGAAATAGTCAAGAGCACGAAGGATTCTGAATTTGAATATCTTGACTTTTGACTTGAATGGAACGGTCATGCAGGATGGTCGTGCAAGTGCCACACATTTTGGCAAGATGATGATGACCATGAGGAACAATGTCCTGTGATACGACATGTTCATCTAGGCAGTTTTCTTCTACTGAACGGTCGTTCCTTGATCTCGCACAATCGTACCACTTGAAAAATCTATTTTCGCATAATCATATCACCTGACAAGTCTGTTTTAGTTTGGTTATGAATAATGTCATACCTTAGCATGTTTTGCTTAGTAATCAATCAACTTTTTAGATAGTTTTGGCATATCAAAACATATGAGAGGTTACAGCAACTTCTTAGAGATGGCTAATCTTAAGGATTGCAAGTCGAGTAAACGAGAGAAGCAACTTTCTTCTTTTATTTGTCTTTCTCCAAGATGTTTTTAGTTTGTTTGTGTTTATTGATTTCTCCATTATGAACTAATTTTAGTTTTACTAAGGCTAAGATGTAGCCTAGTTACAATGATGCAATTTTATTGATTCAATCTAATCTATATTCTATTTTCCTTAATTGAGTGTTTATTACTGTTTTTAATTTTGTTGGATGTTTGTTCACCATTCACTTAGCATTGTTTTCATAATGAGAGTGAAAAGTGATTTATGATGTTAGCTTCTGGTAATAAATATCATAGATTAAGCGAATACTAGAGATAGATAAAAGCAATTTGTGTGACCTTGGGTAGAATTTCATAGAGCGTAATGAACCTAGAACTATTAAACTTCAAGTTTTGGTTCAGAAGGTTAATAGGAAAGAGTGGGTCAATATAACTTAAGAAAGAGCATTGAACAATTTAGGGAATTCGGTCATCAATCAGAAGATAGAGTTGGATTAGTAAGAAGTATAAGTTGTATCGTGATAACTAGGTGAAATCAAATGCTCTAGTGTTTACTCTTGATTGAATCAGCTTGGAAATTTAGATACTTGAGTTATAATTGCTTTCTATTCTTATTTTTTGTTAATTTCTTAATTTATATTTTTAAATTATTCACAGTTTCGGTTCTTCACTTGGTGTTAGGACTAGTAATTTCAGTCATTAATAAGTTAACTTTCCGCGTGGGATCAACACTCTATTCTCCACTGTATTACTTGAGCGATTTAGTGCACTTGCTAAGTTTTACGCATCAATTTTCTATCCCAAACTTCTAAATGAATCCTCTTACCAACGCTAAGGGTGAAATTTTTTAACCTAAGGGCTTAACGCAAACCTAAGGGCTTAACGCAATTAATCCCCCTACATACTTTACATAAACAGCTTCAAATTAAGCTTAAACTTACATTCCCAACTTACATATCTGTTGTTGGAGTACAGGTTCATATTGACATGGTTTTTACGGAAAATAAAATTTCATCCCTAAGGTTTGGCTTTAAAAAAAACATTTTAGTCTAGTGGAATTTTTTAGTAACTTTTCGGTCCCTGTTAGAAACTTTAGTCTATGAGGTTTGCTAATCTCAGGGACTAAAATGTTACTGACATGGATCGAAACATTATTAAAAAGTTATATTGAACTAAAGTGTTACTTAAACCAAATCTCAGGAATGAAATTGTCATTATCCCGGGTTTTTACAAGCACACGCACAAGAATGAAGATGCCCAAGTGTCTAATAACCCTTGTAAGGTAGTGGTATGGCCTTCAATGGAACAGCTTTCCTAAGCGTTATACCCATTCGTTCACTCATATCCATGTTTTCAGGCTTAATCCCATCTGCCAACTTCCAATCAAATGAGTACAAAAGCGACCCTAGTGCTAGCGGAAGCACACGAGAAGCAAGAGGCATGGCTGGACACATTCTACGCCCAGACCCAAATGGTATAAACTCAAAATGATGCCCCTTGTAATCAGCCTTGTCCTTTTCCAAGAACCTCTCTGGCTTGAGCACTAAAGGGTCTTTCCAAGTTTTTGGGTCACGTCCTATTGCCCAAACGTTCACTAGAATTTGTGTCTCCTTCGGAATATAGTAGCCCAACATGTTGCACGAGTCCATGGCCATGTGTGGAACTAAGAAAGGTAATGGTGGGTGAAGTCTCAGTGTTTCCTTTATGACTGCTTTAAGGTATGGAAGTTTTTCAATGTCTTTCTCTTCAATCTTTTTTTTGGGGCCAATGGTGCTCCTCAGCTCATCCTGGACTTTCCTTAGTTTCTCTGGGTTGTGAAGTAGCTCAGCCATTGCCCACTCCAATGTGCTTGTTGTTGTGTCAGTTCCTGCTGTGAACATCTCCTGATAAAAGCATAACATTAATTATGCCTTCTAATAAATTATTATGAAATGACTAATTTTCTTGTTATGACGTCTTAAATTAATTATGTGAGGACCATGTTAATCAATGAATTCAAAAATAAAGTTCTAGATTTCTTAGACTAAAGAATTTTGCATTATGAAATTGAAATAAATTTATTATTAAATAACTTACAAACACGATAACGTTGATGGTTCGTGAAGAAAATTTAGATGGCTCCTCAAGTCCATCACCACGAAATTCCAAAAGCACATCCAGAAAATCTTTTTTATTTAACTCTTTGTTACTCTCGGTCCTTTCTTGAATGAACCCTCCAGCGATTTCAAAGGCTCGATCAACATGGAACTGGGTTTTCCTCCTTATACCTTGAGGATCAAGCCATCTTAATATTGGCAAGAAATCTGCAACGTTTGGTTTGCCAGCAAACTCCATAACTTTACCTGCATGGTAAAAAAAATTGGCCCCTCTTTCTGATTTGGGGTCTAGTAAATCCTTCGAAAATATAAGATTTCCAATCAAATTAAAAGCCATCAAGAAAACGAATCTCCCAACATCAATGGCATTGGTACCACACGAACTGGCGTCTTCTACATACTGTACCATGCGATCGATGCACCGACTCCTCACACCTCGCATAGCGTCAAGACGGCTAGACACAAAGAACTCAGTGGTACACAAACGCCGCAACATACGCCAATGGGGACCATATTGAGATGTTATAATAGACCCCTCAGTTCCATACTCACCTTTCATGGCCTCATAGATTTTTCTTCCCGCAAGAACGACGTCGTGGTTCTTGAACATGTCGCGAGCCACTTCATTGGAAGAGACCACCACGGTACACATTGAGCCTAGCCATAAAGTCATGATGGGGCCATGTTTATTTGCCAATTTGGCAAATGATACGTGTGGAATCAAACCCAATTGAAAGATGTTCCCAACAACTGGCCACCATTTTGGTCCTGGTGGTAGTTGCCTTAGCTCTTCCACACGACGGTGGCGACGCTCGGTCACCATTGCCCATATAACCCATAGCAAAAGTGCTATGACTATTCCCACTATCTCGCTATCCATTTATGTTAAATTATATTATGTTTTGTTATGTTCAAGGCATTGGCAAACCAGGTTGCTTTTATAGTGTTTCTGCACAATTAACAGACAAATGCCTTTGAACATTTTCCAACAGAAGAAACTTGTCAATTATTGCAGGGAATCTTGACAATTTGTTCAACGGAAATGTGAGTTTTGGTGTTTTGTTTTGTATGATATATAAACAACCAAAATCGATTTGATATATGTGCTAAACAGGTTTTACCCTTCTTTTTATCTTTTTTTTTTTTTTTTTTTAATTTAATCTTAGATTTGTTTCTTCGTATCTCTACCAAATTAATTTTCTTGATTAAATTATTTTTGGAGCGTTACACGACGGAGGTAACATCGAGCTTTGATGGAAACAGGTTAACAAGAAAATATAAGAGTGATGAACTGATTGGTATGCATCCGATCATGATAATATTCTTTGATTTTAATTATATTCTTATACAAACTAAAAGAAAAATGTACGTTTAAAATTGAATTTTAATCTATCTTTAATTTTATTTTAAAATTAAAACTAGTTTTTTTTTTTTTTTTAATTTAAAGTGTGTTTATCTGCATATCAGATTGCAATCTAATTTGTAATCTTTTTTAGATATATGATTATCAGAGCTTTTGTCTTCTCCCACAAGTTATTTCCAATTTCATTGCAAAACTTGGGACAGGAGTAAATAATATTCAGCACCTAATTCTTTCAAAATTTCAATTATATTTTTTTTTAAATTGTAATGAATTTTAAATTACAGATTTTATAATCGATTAGTATAAATATTGCAATACATAATTAATATTTCAAGTAAAAATACATATTATTTTATTTTATCAATAATATAATATTAAAAAATATCAAGTGAATAATATTAAGAGGTAGAGATTATCTTTTACAATTAATTCTGACAATTTAATAATAAAAAATATTATAATCAAGATTATGAAAACAGTTTTCCTAATTAATTTTTAAAATTAAAACATTTAAAATGCTTCAAAAACATTTTAATTAATATTTAGAAACCAAGACCAAGAAAAATAATTTAGTCACTTAATGATGTAAAGATAAATCGTGTTGCAGTTTAAACTTTTTCGAAATTACTTATTGAATGAAAAACAAGATTTTATTATTAAAAAATAATAATGTCAATGCAAAAATAATAATGTCAATGCAAAAATGCACCAACTAGAGCGATCCAATCGACTTTGACGGGTTCCGAACTGATGTGTGCGTGATTACGGGTAACCAGCAATGAATAAACAGAAAATGCAGTAAAGTAAATGACAAGAAAGTTTTTAAAGTGGTTCAGCGAGTTTTTCGAGCTCTAACATATGTTTGCTTCTGTTTCAAGTACCCAGAGGTGAGCTGTCGTCATGTCTTCATCAAGCAGCCATACATTTGATCGCATGTTCAACTCCTTGGCGAGCTCGATAGTCCTTGGTGGCATACTCCTTGAGGTTTCCGAGGATATCGTTATGCGAAGTTCAAACTCCGATGCAGCGGGCTCTTCTAACAATGTCTCTGCGGAGGTCGCTCAGCTAAAGAAGTCTCCGTCTCATAGGTCGCGCAAGGAACGACAATCCTCTTATGCACCTCAACTTAACTTGAGGGTTCTGGGAGGCTTCTCCCGAAAGAATCCCCCTATAGGCTATGTAGCAATTTCTGAGTCCCTTCTAAGGTGCGAGATGTCTATCCCCACCTACCATTTCATCAACAGCATTTTGAGACGGTTCGACATCATCTTTCTCTAACTATCCGCGAATTCATACATTATAATTGTAGGTATGTACATAGCATACCAGATAGTCGAGTTAGGCGAGCAGTCTTTTAAGGAGCTCGTTCATTTGTATAGATTAAAGAAACATCAAGACTAGACGTACTACCTCTCCAAGGCAAGGAAGGTACATTTTAACGGTCTTGACGACATTCCAAAGAAAGTCCTGCATTGGGACCCTCAGTTTTTGTTTTAAGAGGTTGAGAAGACCGGCGTTTTTGCTTCGGAAGCTAGTAAAACTTTGACCCCTAGTGTGTGCAAAAAGTGTTTTCAAGCTCAACGGTTGGCTGATTGAATTTCTTTGTTTTGTAATAAACGTCGAGCAGAATTTTCTCCCTGCGGCGAGCTTACAGAGGCTTCAACGCTTTAGCAATCTCTCCGATAGGGAGCGCAACGTCAATGAGATTATCTCGCTTCCTCGGTTGAGGGCATACGACTTTTGCGTGGACAATGCCAATTTCAATACCATCCTCAAAAAAGGTAAAGTGTTTACTTGCTCGCGCTTTTTTTTTTTTTTTTTTTTTTTTTGTAGGTCGCTGATTGTTTGCTTCTCCTTTCATAGAAATGTGTGCCGAAAAACTGAACGGCTTGAAGAAGAAAAAGAAGGCGACTTCTGGGGTTGCCAAGAAGTCACCGATCGCTTTGGCGAAGAGGCAGCCTACCGATGCTGCTGGAACAGTCAGGTTGGATGCCTTGCATCCGGCCCTTAAACAAAGCGGTGGCGAGCTTGGGGAAGACCCAAGTGCCAAGAAGCCCACGACTGCCTCCAAGGCAATCAGAAGGAAAGGTGCCCCTGAGCTGCAAAAGGGGTCGGCAAAGAAAACATCAGAGCCAACTGGAGGCTCGAGGAAACAGAAGGCGTCCGAGCAACATTATAGCTCGGGGAAGAAAAAGATGTCGGAGTAGCATGAGGGCTCCGGCAAAAAGAAGTCGACCGAGCCTCAAGAGGGCTCGGGAAAACAAAAGGTTGGAGCAGCAAGGTGGCTTGGGCAAAGAGGTCGCAGGGCAAGCTGGAGGCCCACAGAAATCCACGACTAAGGACTTGGCCAAGAAGAAGTCCATTCCCATAGGCGAAGCTATTATTCCTGTGGGAAGTAAATCAAGCTCGCCTCAACAAGGAAGGCACAATGTCGAACAAGGAAACTCGAGTTACGCTTGATGCGATAACCAGCCAGCTCCCTGAACACATCAGCATTGGGGCCTCAGCGGTCAGGGACGCTGTCACCCTGCGAACCTATGTAGGCATTAGGGATTCGTTTGCTCCACAACTGTTGACTTGGGTATGCAGCTACGTGACTAAGATATCAGCAGTTTGCACCCCTTTCCCTTTTTTATATACGTTTTTCTTTATTCCTCACTAACTTTCATTATTTTCTTTTTTAAGCCTACGTGTTGAGCAAACTTCTCTATGATGAGTGTTACCCAACATTGATGGGCACTCACCAGTGGTGGCAAGAAACAAAGACGCTCAAGGAGGATGCCTTGGCTAGGGCCGAGGTTGTAAAGAAAGAGAATTACTCAAAGCAAGCCGAGCTTGAGCTGCTTAAAGAGGAAATGGCAGCCTTCAGGGTCAAGGAAAGGGAATTCCTTGACAAAATTCGGGTAATTGAGGCAGCTCAAGCAAAAGCCGAAGCCAAAGTGATTGAGGCTGAGAAGAGTTTAGCACAGTAGCGAGGTACCAACAATAAGCTGATCTCCGAGCTCACCTCAGCTCAAAAAAACTACCTCAAATTGGGAGGCAAAGTTTAAATAGGTCTCACGACAAAAGGTCGAGGCTGAAATTGAGTAGTTGAGGCTTGAAGTTGGGGAGTTAAACTAGGTCGTCACGAACTGAGCTTGGGAGACATCGGTATTCCTTGTACAGAAGTTGCGGAAAGCTCACTCTCGATTGACTTCTCCTTTCTTTTACGGGCTTATCAAAAAGAAGTCGACAAGATAAGGACCGAGGCTCAAGGGATGGCCTATGTTTACTCAGATGACTCCGAGCTTAACGGTGAGGGCAAGAAGGAGGTCGAGGAGGGAGAGGAGGATGCACATTAAGTAGGAAATCGAGGATCCGACTCCCCTGGCTACACTCCCACCTATTGTTGTCGACCTTCCTCCAGTCGAGGCTCCGAAAGACGTCCTAGCTCCCAACCCTGAAGAGGCTACAAAGACTCTTGCTGTTGACGATCTCTCTACCCAAATTGGTGACAATGCCCCCGCTCCTCCAACTGCTTAGAAAAAAAAAATTTAGTTTAGTTTGTAACTAAACTTTACAATTAATTAAAGACATTTTTGCATATATCTGTTGAGCAATTTTTAATTTCTGCAGAGTCGCTTTAATCGTCCTAATTAGATTTATCATGAACAATTCGAATTTGCTCCAAGTTATGCGTAGCTCGATTTTTGAGGAACTTTTTGAATACATATAAGAAAATCTTGTGCGACAACTCTGAGTTTGGACTAGTTGTCTGTCTCAAGTTTTAGCCGCTGGCTTATGACTGATTTTCCTTCAACGTGTTTTACTTCAATTTTTCCAAGTGTAACTTCGTCGATTCGGGGAGTTTCGCCCCTAATGAGTTAGATTTTGGCGTGGTTTACCAAGCTAAGCTGCCTTTTTCCAAACTCTTGACTCTGAGTTTTTAGGTGTGATCGCGTAGGTCATGATTTTTGAAACCAAAGATGGTAAACGATGAACAAGATATTAATAAACAAAGAATGATAAACAAAGTAAAGTTCATGAATAATACCTCTTTTTATTGATGATACTTTGGCCATAAACGACCTTACAATAATTATAAGAGAGAAAACAAAACATGATTGGAACCTGAGCAGCTCATTGGTAATACCTTTGCAAATGCTTGGCATTCCATGCTTGCAATATGGCTTCACCATTGAGGCATTCCAAGTGGAAAGTTCCTGGTACGAGCTTTTCAGAGATCCTAAATGGATCTTCCCATTTGGGCCCAAGTGCCCCCAAATTCGGGTTTTGTGTACCTTAGACAACCTTTTTGAAGACTAGGTCACCCATTTCAAAGTTTTTGTTCTTGACTTTGGAGTTGAAGTATCATCTGGCTCGTTGCTAGTATGAAGCGAGGCTTAGCTGAGATTTGGCTCGATGTTCTTTGATTAAGTCTAGCCTCAAGCGGATAAGATCCTTGTTCATTTCTTTATTGAAGACTTCCCTCCGAAACGAACTAATCCCCACTTCAATTGGGGTCATTGCTTCACACC